TCATTTGGAGCAATCCTTTGGAGTGAGTTGCACTTTCAATACCTACACGGGTTGGTCCCACAAGGAACAAACAAGTATATCCATAAACATAGAGTGATGCACACACAAGATGATGTCCATGAAAGCATTAGGTTACCTTGTCCCTTGCCTTACCAACATGAGGGTTTGTGACTCCTTGAACTAGTGCAAGATGTGGAAGTTGATTGCACCTGTCCTTGCCATAATGATATGAGTGAAGTATGTTGGCGGAGTCACCCTCAAGAACTCTCTAGTTCTTCTTCTTCGGGATCCACATCATCTTGATGGGAATCTTTGTAGTTGTAGTCGTGCTTGATGAAGTAGAACTTGACGTAGTCTTGGGAACCCACTTGACCAAGGCCTTAGGAGCTTCTTCAAATGCATCAATCTCCTCTTGAAGCTTGTCCTTGCCTTTGTTCTTGTGGTCTTGTGGTGGAAGATCATCTTGAGCTTGTGTCCCTTCGAAGGAAGTAGGATCATACTTCACTTGTTGAGGAACAAACTTCGTCTTGGGGTATTGATCTTCTTCCCACTCAACTCCATTAGCATTGAACTTTCGTTCAAAACCAACACCTTGGTTCTTCCGGTGCCTTCCTTGCTTGCGTACAATTTCCTCGAATTGCTTACTCCCGGCAAGGCTCTTGTATACACCTTTCTCTATGATTCCCTTCAATAAGCTATTTTCTTGCTCAAGTGTAACTTGGCTAAGAGAATCATTAGTGGAATCAAGAGAATTACTAGAAGCAACAATATTGGATTTAGCATGATTTTTGTTACTACTAGAGGAAGGATCCTTCTTGTTCTTGTTACTAGACTTGACTTGAGGCATGTAAGTAGATAAGAGTAAACGCTTGGCAATGTAAGAAGAACTTTTCTTCCGAAGATCATCATTGATTGCCTTTAAGAACTCATGCTCTTGCTCAAGATTGAGCTTTTCAAAGCGTAAATTCTCATGAGTCCTCAAAAGTTCTCGATGATCCCCTAAGATAGTTTCACGAGCTAACTTAAGAGGGTTTAGTTCTTTAGTTAGAAGCTCAATCTTCTCCTTATCATTGTCATTCATTTTATCTTGTTTAGCATGATTAATTGATGTTTCATCATAGTATTCATCACTAGAGTTGTCAATAAGTAAATCATCATCACCTAACAAGTCATCTTCATCACTATTGAAATCAACATACTCGGGGTGTGTTACCTTAGGGCCTTTAGCCATGAAGCATCTTCCAATTCCTTCATTTGGTGAATCAAATATGTCATAGGAGTTGGTCGACACAAGTGCTAGACCGGCAACACCTTCATCTTGAGTATGTTCGGAGTCGGAGTGATAGCTTCTCTTGGAGTGATGTTCAGAGTCGGAACTGGATACCCATTCACCAACATGAGCTTGATGTCTTCGTTTTGTGTATCTCTTTGATGACTTGTCCCTACTTTCCGAATCCTTGCTTCTCCGTGATGTTCTTCGTTCATAACGATCATCACTACTCCTCCTCTCTCTTGGTGGTGATTCTTCTCTTCTACTTCTTCTCTTTGGAGAATCTTCTCTTCTTTTGTAGGGTGCCGTACACTCATTGGAATAGTGTCCGGGTCTCCCACAATTGTAGCAATTGAGCTCTCGACTGGAAGATCTTTTGTCATTGTAGGACCTTGACTTGGAGCTTCTTTCTTTGCTTCTACTCTTGTAGAATTTGTTGAAGTTCTTCACCATTAAGCTCAATTCTTCATTGAAGGTTTGTTTCTCATTTGATGATGTAGGAGCTTCCCATGAGGCTTTATAAGCACCACTTGACTTTTTGTGAAGTTCCTCCTTATCCTTGAGTGACATCTCATGAGCAACAATTCTTCCAATGACCTCCGTTGGCTTGAGATTCTTGTAATTGGGCATCATTTGGATCAATGTGCACACGGTATCATATTTTCCATCCAATGCTCTTAGGATCTTCTTGATGATGAATTTTTCGGTCATCTCTTCACTTCCTAAGCCCGCAATCTCATTTGTGATAAGAGCAAGCCTAGAGTACATTTCAGCGACACCTTCACCATCCTTCATTTTGAACTTGTCAAGTTGACTTTGGAGCACATCCAATTTGGATTCCTTGACGGAGTCGGTACCTTCATGCATATCAATCAAAGTATCCCAGATTTCCTTTGCATTCTCAAGACGGCTGATTTTGTTGAATTCTTCGGGGCACAATCCGTTGAAGAGGATATCACAAGCTTGAGCGTTGTATTGCAGCATCTTCAACTCATCCGCGGTAGCTTCACGGTTTGGTTCCCTCCCATCAAAGAATTCACCTTGCAAGCCAATACACACAATAGCCCAAACGGCGGGGTTATGTCCGAGAATATGCATTTTCATCTTATGCTTCCAACTAGCAAAATTAGTACCATCAAAGTAAGGACCTCTACGGTGATAATTTCCGAGATGCCATACTCTCCTAGGTTGTGAAACCAAGGCTATGACCACCAAAAGCTATTGAAATCAAAGCAAATGGAGACCAAAGCTCTGATACCACTTGTAGGACCTTGAAGTATGTCTAGAGGGGGGGTGATTAGACTACTTGACCAATTAAAAACTTAACCTTTTCCCAATTTTAGTCTCTGGCAGATTTTAGCTATCTTAGCACAAGTCAAGCAATCTTCACACTGTTCAAGAAAGCATGCAAAGAGTATATGGGCAGCGGAAAGTAAAGCATGCAACTTGCAAGAATGTAAAGGGAAGGGTTTGGAGATTTCAAACGCAATTTGGAGACACGGTGATTTTTGAGCCTTGGTTCCGATAGGTGGTTCTATCGTACATCCATGCTGATGGAGACTTCAACCCACGAAGGGTAGCGGTTGCGCGAGTCCACGGAGGGCTCCACCCACGAAGGGTCCACGAAGAAGCAACCTTGTCTATCCCACCATGGCCGTTACCCACGAAGGACTTGCCTCACTAGCGGTAGATCTTCACAAAGTAGGCGATCTCCTTGCCCTTACAAACTCCTTGGTTCAACTCCACAATCTTGTTGGAGGCTCCCAAGTGACACCTAGCCAATCTAGGAGACACCACTCTCCAATAAGTAACAAATGGTGTGTTGATGATGAACTCCTTGCTCTTGTGCTTCAAATGATAGTCTCCCCAACACTCAACTCTCTCTCACAGGATTTAGATCTGGTGGAAAGAAGATTTGAGTGGAAAGCAACTTGGGGAAGGCTAGAGATCAAGATTCATATGGTAGGAATGGAATATCTTGGCCTCAACACATGAGTAGGTATTTCTCTCTCAGAAATGGTAAGTTGGAAGTGTAGGTTTGTTCTGATGGCTCTCTCCATGAATGAAGAGGAGGTGGAGGGGCATATATAGCCTCCACACAAAATCTAACCGTTACACACAATTTACCAATCTTGGTCGGACCGAATCAACAAACTCGGTCACACCAATTTAGTAAACCTAGTGACCGTTAGTGATTTTCGGTGGGACTGGCATGCAACTCGGTAGGACCGATATGGTTAGGGTTAGGGCATAACGTAATCTCGGTGATACCGATTACACAAACTCGGTGAGACCGATTTTGGTAATAAGCTAACCAGAGAGTTGGTCAGGTAAACTCGGTGGGACCGATACGCTCTTTTCGGTGGGACCGAAATGTTATGAAAGGGAAACTGAGAGTTCACATTGCAATCTCGGTGGGACCGATCACTCACTTCGGTTAGACCGAAACGTTACGAAGGGAAACAGAGAGATTACAATCCCATCTCGGTGAGACCGAGATCCCTATCGGTGAGACCGATTTGCCTAGGGTTTGTAGCAGTGGCTATGACATCTGAACTCGGTGGCTCCGGATAGAAAGAATCGCTGGGGCCGAGTTTGAGTTTAGGTTTAGGTCATATGTGGATATGAGAAAGTAATTGAGGGTTTTTGGAGCATATCACTAAGCACTTGAAGCAAGAAACTCATTAAGCAACACCTCATCCGTCCTTGATAGTATTGGCTTTTCCTATAAACTCAATGTGATCTTGGATCACTAAAATGTAAAATGTAGAGTCTTGAGCTTTTGAGCTTGAGCCAATCCTTTTATCCTTAGTATTTTGAGGGATCCACTTTCCTCATCCATGCCATGCCATTCATTGAGCTTTTCCTGAAAAGTTTGTCTTGGAAAGATGTTAGCTCAATGAGCTATATGTTGTTAGGAATTACCAAAACCACCTAGGGATAGTTGCACTTTCAATAGCATATGAGAATGGACGGAACAAGGAAAAATACAGACTCCTGCATTATCGGAGTCATGTGTTACGGACATCTAGATGCCCACAAACGTCACCTCAATTTGGTGTTAGTTTGGGGGATTTAGACCAGTCCTGACCAATTTGACGACCCTAGTTGGATGACCAAAAGTGAGTGTCCGATCTGCACTTTTGCGGGCGATTTCGTGATCTATGTTAGAGTTGCCCTGAGATGCTAGGGTCAGCATATTGAATAGGGTGACGTGCAAATTGCACTAGACACCACTGAACAACGCAGAAGGAAAGCCTGTGAGCACATGGAGAGGTAGCTCCCGAGATGCCAGGTTTGAACGCAAACCTATAGTGGCAGCTCACCTGGAGCGTCGCAACATCATAACAACATGAATTCGCTACTCAAACTTGAAGCACATGCAAAGGAAGAATCTCAACGCATCATAGGAATGCAAAACGATATATTAGAACTAGCATTATTTGCAGAATAACCAACAACCAACAACAAACTCATAATAACCAAGTTCAAGAGTGCAGCAAAAGACCACCAACATAAAGATAATGGAGTGAGCCATATGGTAAACCTCCTAGATCGACTGGAACCGGATCAATGTACTTACGACTTACTACTAGCATATTTTTGAACCAGAAACGATTAACAGCTACTCTCAGGCATTAACAAAGCCGGGTTTCCTTCCTTGTTGGTCATTCGATTACGAGATAGTTGTTTCTTTACTTTACCCCCTCGATCTTCACTTGAAGGCCCACTAGTTCTTCATCCAGAGTTCATCCACTTCCTCTTTGGTGAGGTCGTTCTTGATGTTGAAGGTCCTACGGATCTCCTCTGGAGTCAGCCCCTTTATCATGTCAGCGGCCTTCTGGCAGGTCAGATCCAGCAACCCCTTGATGTCCAGGTAGTGTGCAGCCTATCAAGGCAAATATAAGCATGATGGTCAGGTATCATACTTACACAAAAGAGACTAAACAGATAAGAGACATGGGCAACATAAACAAGCTATAGTTGCATCACCCACATAGTGAGCGAGCAGAACTTCGCACTTAACTAAAATAGTAGCAAAAATGCAAATGGTGAGCGTGCAAAAGTTCATATTAAGCAAAATAGTAGCAATACAGCATGACGAGGGAGCAACATTTCATATTAAGCAAGATAATATCAATACATATAGTACAATCTAAAGGTGAGTTGTCTTACATGATACTGAAACAATACTATACAAGTTTTGCACACAAATGGATTCCAATATTGCCAATACAGTGCAGATGAATCATGCCAGCAACATGGATAACCCAAAACAACTATGTACAACAATAGACCTACCAGCTAGGAGCTGTAAAGAAATACATATTATATTACTTGCAAAAGCATATAATTGAAAAATGAGAAACATATACTATAGAGCTATAAACACCAATAGACCACTAACAGTAGCATTCTCATATGCGTAAAATATTATCCGGAATAAAGATACCACAAAGCATAAAAGAAAGCTCACATGCCTTACAATCTGATGGGATAAAGGTACTGAATAGTTGAACACAGATGCATCCTAGGATAGCAATCTTGACTGATGATGCAAGAAGCATCGAATAGAAATGACATCAAAGAAGTACGACAAACCATCACAAAACAACAACCAAACCATGTTGATGTCTTACAGTCTTGCTGACCATTTCTATAGATAATCTACCTATCTACTAATGAAATGCAAGTCAGATAGTTCAGATTTCCAGCAAATGATGAAATGCAGATAGTCAAATGTTATCACAATACTCTGCTCAAGTAAATATAATAGACTAGAGTAATGCAAATTAACTCAGGAAACAGAAATCAGCAATGTGTACAAAGCTAGGTGCATTTAACTAAGCACAATACTGATATTTTTTGTAGAAAAGCACAATACTAAAGTTATATAAATGCAACTTACAGTAGTACAACACTGAAAATATTAGCGTATCTAAGTAAACATATTTAGCAAATAAGGCAATACACTTTTACCAATATCATCAAATAGCTCTTCATATAATAGTTGTTCCATCCTATTGAGATTACAAACACTTAGGATCGCACAACCATGTAAACATGATGGCAATTAACCTAGAAATTAGAAAACGTAAAAAATATAAAGGTCGACGACATTCCCCCTTTTATTTATTAAAAAATTAATGAACCATTCCAATATTTTGCAGAATACCTACGACGAACATATAATGCATATCATATATCAGAGTACCTGCAACGAGTCTACAGTACTCCCTCCATTTACTTATACAAGGCCACTATAGAAAATACACTTTGCATCTATACAAGGCCACCAACAGTAATCGAGACAAAAGTTAATGATATTTTCTTGAACTAGCAACCTATTTAAAACATGCATACAATCATAAATGATAGTCCAATCAGCTTCCTACCCTTTCCTTGCATGTATTTGGTGTATTAATGATCCCAGTATAGGAAGAGAAAAGTTGATTTACAAAGAAGACATTAAATTTTACCTTGGTACCTGTAATATGAGTTTGTGGCCTTGTATATAAAAATAGAGGGAGTACTACCTAGTTCCTAACCCAACAATGCCATGAGACCCTAAAATCACGAGCACACGAAGCACAAATCTGGGGTACCAATACTAACCATTCAAAATCACAAAAAAAACCGCCTCTAAATAGCAGGAACAAGATCCCTTGATGAGTACTAACTAGAAGGAGCACGATGGGGAGGGTTGGATGGAAATCTCACCAAGATGAGGTCGAAGAGGATGCGTTGTTCGACGTCGACGAAATCCTTGTCGAAGGTCTTGAGGTACCGCTCGGAGGCCTTGGTGGTGGAGTCTGTGGCTTCGGCTCCGTGCTTCTCGACGTGCTGCTTGCAGTATTTGATGACCATGGCAAGGATCTCTGCTTTGACATTGGGGAGGGGGATGATGTTGTTGGCGCAATCATCCTCGATCATGTGCTTGATTGCCTGTGACTCCATCGCCACCATCTCCTCCACCACAAACTCCACGCCGTCGGAGCTCCTCAGCGTGAGCTTCTTCTCCGGTGCCACTGCTGCCGCGGCCGCCATTGATCCGATCGCCTGGGAGACTGGGGTGGCTAGGTGGTACGAGGCGAGAGACCTTAGGAGCGAAGGTGAAGGGGGAGTTTGGGGGTGGAGGGGAGGTGCTTTTATTTTTGGATCGCGAAGGGGAAAGGTGGATTTTCTTTATGGAATGGAAAAGGTCTAAAATTATTACCATTATCATTTAGGGAAACGCCAAAGCTTCACCCGGTCGCATAGCTCCCTCCCATGCGCCACGCTACACCTACCAATGCAAGGGCGCCACGCTACACCCACCAATGGTAGGGCGCCACGCTACACCTGCAAATGCCAGGGCGCCACGCGTCCTTGCGGGCCCATGCACATCCCTTCTCTCCTGCTTATCTTCTTTTTCCCTCTCGTCGGACTCCTCTCTCCGAGACGCGCTCTGCTCCTCTCCCCAGATGCTTGTCGCCAAGGTCGTCTTCCCCGATGCTCGCCGCCATGGCCACTTCCTCCTCCACCCCTCCCCCACGGGCACGACCAGTGAGCTTTTTCCCCACTAGTCCACAAATGTTGCAACCAATGTGCTCGTCGCTGGAACTCG